TTTTTTTTCTAAAAATCATGCATATGTCACATATATATATGATTTTTAGAAAAGCATGTATATATCACACATACATATAAAACATATTTATATATACATATATATATATATGTATTATATAGATATATGTGTATATATAAATATGTTTTATGTATGTGTGTTATATGATTTTTTTCCTAAAACATATATATATATATATATATAATGTTTTTTAGGGAAAAATACATATATAACACATACATATAAAACATATAATAATTATACATATATATAGATATATATGTATCATATGTATATATATGTATATATGTATATATAAATATATTTATATATGTATATAATTTTAAAATTTTTATAAACATGTTTATATATGTGTATAATTTTTATGAATATATATAATTTTTAAATTTTTATTTTTATTTTTATTATTTTATTATTATTTTTTATTAATTAATATTATTAAATATTAGGGATTGATGATGTGGCAGATGACTAGGATGTCATGTCAGCATTAAATAATATTGTTTTTCGTTCAGGGTTTTATTTGCCAATTTTTAAAAGTATAGAGTTTTAATTGCCAATTTTTAAAAGTACAATGTTTTTTTGGATAAAAAAAAAGTACAGAGTTTAAATTGAGACGAGAGAAAAGTACAGGGTTTTAAATGGAATTATCCCTAAAATTAATATTGACTTTAAAATATTTCTATAAATTTATTTAAATAACTGAGATTAAATTTTTAGAAAATATACGATTTCAAATTTATATTAATTTAGATCGGTTTTTTTTATTATTTGGAAAACAAAAAAGTTAAAAAAAAAATAAGGTGGCATTATACGATGGTAGGACCAAAGTCATTGTTACTCGTATGCTACGATTTCAGGTTACAAGACAAAGCAATCTTTGTAAAATCTTGCTAAGTCAAGACAAAGGCAGATGCAAATAAGCTATCGAGCTCTTCTTTTATTATTAAATATTTTTCTATTCCTTTCTCACCAATAAGATCCATGCATTTATTATTTATTAGATATTGTTCACATAAAATGTTTTATAAAACCATATGTATAAGCTATTCAAAATTAGGTTTTTTGGTACATCATAGTCCATGTATGAAAAAAATGTTTTATCAAATTATATGCCACGCTATAATTTATATACACTATATTAAATCTGTATGAAACTACTATCGTATATTTAGAAAAAAAAATCAAAAGCATTTAACCTATATATAATTAAGTAAAAATTTTAATGGTTAATTAAAAGTCACCAATATAAGGTTTCCTTTATACAAGGATAAACAGTTTGAACATATTTTAATTTGAATCATGAAAATTTGATGATTTTTCACCACCATTAAAAGGTTAATACATCAATACTTACTTTTAAAATGTTATATTTTTCTTTTTGCGAATTTCTTACATATTGGATATTTGGTTTGAACAAGAGCTATTGTACCGGAAACAGAACACACACATCAACATCAACATCAATATCGCCTTAATCTCAGATTTATTTGGGGTCGACAGCATAAATTATTCTTTTTCATTTATTTCGGTTGTTCGTAATATCTTCCAATATTTGCAACATATCCAAATTATTTTTAATAACTTGTTTCCAAATAAGTCTAGATCTATTTCTTTCTCGTTTGTTCATTTTCATTATTATATTCTCTAATTTTCTAATCGGAGCGTCTAGCGGTATACGTTATACACATAATATAAAATAAAATATGCAAACATGCATTGTTATGAAAAAGGAGCCAATATTTCTTATGATAAGTAATTAATTACAATTGATTTTATTGTTTTTTACATAATAAATATATCTTTCTTTCTTTATAGTAAACGGGAACACATGCAAACCAAAATACAACACGGAATATACCAATATACAACTCCACCCACAATTTTGTCACAATGTGAAATAACAAAAAAAAAATCTCTTTTTATTCTTTTTCAGAAAAAAAAAAATGTAAAAAGGTGGGCTTTTTTTTTTTCCTTTTCAGCCCCTCCCATAGTTTCGATTTTCCAAGGGGGAAAAAACTATAACTTTAAATATAAAACAAAATAAAATTACCAAAATGTGCAAGAACTCTGAGAAATATCATCATTTACCAGCAAATCCCAGCTGCTAAAGGCATCAACATCCCATAAACTCATCATACCGTTGTCCATAATGTTGTCCATGTCATTATTACCGTAATCCGAAGCCGACCAATCAAAATCCGGAAACTGGAAATCCTTCAAGAAACATGATGACTCTTGCGATGAGTTCGAAGTCGTCGAAGATGAAGAAGAAGAAGAGGAAGAAGAGGGAACTGCAGAGTTGCTGCAGACAAGCCCTAAACCCTCCGGATCAACCAGAAGAACCTCTTCGACGCAGAAACCGGGATCTATAGTAACGTTCATCACGAACTGATCGTTGAGTAAATCGTCCTGCTTCGCCGTTTGTATCTCCGTAGTCGTTTCAGTCAAGTTGTTGCTGTTGTTCAGACAATAGCTAGGTTCTCGTGCTGTCATCTGGGATTCAAGATTTTGGTCTTTTGTAGTTTTTTCTTGTTCTTGTTCTTGTTTCTTTTGATCTTCGACGGTCGAAAGCGGCTTATGCGTTACTGGGTCGATCCCCATTTTTTTCAACTTCTTCTTGATGTGAGTGTTCCAGTGATTCTTGATCTCGTTGTCTGTTCTACCCGGCAAATGCGAAGCAATCTTCGACCACCTTTACGCATAATTAACTCGCATGCAATTGGGAATCAGGTTTACGGATCACCACAAAAGCGGATACAACAGAACAAAAAACATAGACTACGATAGAGAAACGGAGGAAAAGGTACCTGTTACCGAGTTGGGCATGGAGATCAATGACCATTTTTTCTTCGTATTCAGACAAAAGACCTCTCTTCAAATCTGGTCGGAGATAGTTAGTCCATCGCAATCTGCAACTCTTCCCACACCTGAGGAGACCGGCGAGTTTAGGAAGAGCTCTCCAGCAACATTGGCCATTGGCGAGGATGAAGTTGATGAGCTTCCTGTCTTCCTCTGCAGTCCATGGCCCTTTCTTCAACCCTACTTTGTCACAACATGGCTGTCTCCCCATTCTTTTTTATTTTTCTTTTGTTCATTTGTTTTGGGTTTGTAATTTCAGACACTGTTCTTGAAAAGCATTGCGTTTATCGAGTTGAAGACAGAGAAGGAAAAGGTGGGCTACTAAATATATATATATATGAATACAAGTACATATGTGTGCGTGTGTGGGTATGCATGTGTGTGTGTCTGCTTATATAGGAAAGTATCTATGTGTATGTATATGTATAAGGAGTATAAAGATAAATTTAAGCACTAAGGGCTGCATTTATAAATTCAACCTCCTCTTCCTGGTTCACACTTCACACAGCTTGTGGTCCATTTTTAAATTTTTTTTTTCCCTTCTTCATCTTTTGTTGTTGTTAAATATATGGCTGAGTTTAAGATAGGATATGGTATAACCTTTGTGCATAGTATATATATATATATATATATATATTATATATACATTTATTCCATTATATATTTTGGATAATATCAAAAACATTATTTAAATATTTTCAAATAATATAACATTTTTTTTATAACTTTGACCCAACTAGTTCCTACATCCGAAACCACATGTTGTATAAATAAATCTTTATTTATCTAAACATGAGATTCAAAATTTAGGATGAGAGATCTTTTGTATTTTCCATTTACCAATAGAACTAGTCACAATATATCATTTACCAATATACAATTTAAGAAAAATATTTGGGCCATCTAGTCTTCGGAATGCCAATATACAATTTAACAATTATATCCGAAATTGAAAGAGGGAAGGACCATCTGGGATAACGACACGTGTCATGAAGAAGAGGGAGAAAGAGGGAATCAAGGCTAAATCCGTGTCGGAAAGCGCCACCTCACCCGCCTTTTCTTTTTGCTTCCATTTCAAGCGTTAGATTCTCCCTAAATTTGATTAGACGATTTTTACTACGTTTATTATTATTTTTTTCAATTTATGATTTTTTCTCTCTACGAATATTATGGCAAAGATCTCTAGTTAATGATTCTGCATTTTATATATTGTAGTAATTCACTGTTGTTCATTGCATTAAATTTCCATTTAAATAGATACTTTCAATGATACAATCTATAATCTAATTTTAAGAATATATATAACCGGTATATTATTTATTTTATATATATGTATATATGAGCATATATATTTGATTAGACGATTTTACTGTTAATCCGGTTGACGGATTTTAATTTTTTTTGTACTAATTTAAATACATATATATATATTTATATGTCTACCCTCTATTTTTTATTACAAATAATTTTACACGAACATTATCAAAGTTTGTTAATTAGTCCACCAAAGTCCCCTTCTAAGTATAGGTACAAATCCTAAACATTTAATCATTATAAATTCAAAAGATAATGGAAAATAACAGTTGTCATTATTTCAACGACCCTAATTGCGTTAACAAAAAAATAAATTCCAAATTTTGTGAAGATAACCATGGTCCAATCATGTTTGTAAATGTCTAGCACTGTATTATAAAAAAAATAACTTTAATGTAATTTTATATTTTTTTATTTAGTTATGATATTCATTGAAATGATGTTTTTAAATATTTGTATGTAAATCGGAAATTAGAACTTTTTTAAAGGCCTGAAGGGTGCTTTGGTTGTGTATTCAGATATAGAATTTTTTGAATCAATAAATATTTAAAATATATTTTACTAGCTATGTATAATAGATTTTTTTAAAAAAACATAATATATTTAACGTGTCATTTTTCCCGTGTAAATACGTAATCTCTAGAAGTAGAGCGTACTCATCGTCATGTGTCACAATTTTAAATCTTGTAAGCATGAAAGCATGAAAACTTTTTTTTTTTTTTTTTGTTAAAGGAAAGCATGAAAACTTGTAAACTGTTCTTGCCCACTAAGCAAAAAACTTGGTCCATTCCCTCTTTCACAAGCAAATTCCCCTTGAGATTTAATTGAAAATTTTAACCCATATCAACTTATAATTTGATGAATTAAGCAATATAATAATTTAATTAATTAAACCATGTTGGTTATTAAGGAAAAATAAGATAACTGTGTGCCATTATTTGTCATTTATTGCCAACACAGAAGCTTTATTATATCTTATATTTGTACATACATGTATAATGAGATGAGAATAGTTTTTTGAGACCTTATAATAAAAATGAAAGTGATACCCATAGCTTTGTAGGTTTTAATATGCAAATATGTACACAATCTTATAAAAATATATTTATTTATCGGGAACGGTTGAAGATGAGGTATACAATTTAATTGTGATACAAAGGTTGCCTTCAGATTTTGAGATATTTAGTTGGATCGAAGGTTCAGTTGATTTTCGAGTTATAAAAAAAATATTTAGTTAATTATAAATCTATAGTTATAACTTCTATTTTTTATTTTAGCGTATAATTAGTATAAATATTATACTTTTTTGTTACGCAGTGATCTATATAACTATCAGTAAAACATAGTTAAAAATGACAAAAAAAAATGCAATGGATATATAACAAATTAACAATTGAAACGGGACAAGAACGTAAACGAGCTTGTTTACAAAGAGGTTAGAGCTTGTAGCAAGATGATGATGATGATGATGATGATGATGATGATGATGATGATGATGATGATGATGATGATGATGATGATGATGATGATGATGATGATGATGATGATAATAATGATGATGATGATGATGATGATGATGATGATGATGATGATGATGATGATGATGATGATGATGATAATAATAATAATAATAATAATAATTTTTAAAACTTCCATAGTAATAAAACGTATTACAAATTTTCCAGTTTAGGATATATCATTTTGAAAATCTTCAACTATTTATAACTATAATTTCTGATCAGATTGAAAAAACTTGATATTTCATCTTTAAGAACATTTTCCCTATAAAATTCCAAACCCATAATTTCCAAAACCTCAAATATCCGATTATATAAATGAATGAATATTCGTATATCACATTTACAAAAAGAAAAACCCCAAAGTAATTTTTCAGACAGAATACTGCCAAATCTTGGTCCTAACAGACAAAGGAATAGTAACATTATTGGTACCATCGGTCCAAGTCAAGCTCCCAAAGAAGAACGCACTGTTCACTTCGTTAGTGGTCGAGACATGAACCTTGAAAGTTGCCTTCTTTGTCGTGGAATTGAACACCAAAGCTTTCGGATTGACCACAACTTTGACACCGTAAGGAGATTCGACCACTGGCTTGTAAACAACAGAATCTACAGTTCCAACGTTTGTTACAGTTCTTGTGACTGTGACGTGTTCCTTGAGATCAGGAACTGTGATCGAAGGCAAATTCACGTCGAGGATCGACGGTCTCGGGTTCGGACATGTGTATACTTTTCCAAGAAGGCTGGAGATGGCTTTGTCTTGGTACCCTGCAGAACACAAGTAATGGACGTAGTCTTCGTAGCCCATGTCGTAGACAAGTCCTGGGTTAGCTGCTCTCTCCGGGTTCATGATTCCTCCTCCGTAGTCGAATGGATCGGCCGGTTTAGGTGACGCTCCTTCCGACATGATGGGGAATCCGAACGGGTCGGTTCTCCATGCTTCAGAAACGGAAAATCGAGTCAGTTCTCTCGGTTTCTTGGGTAACAAGAAAGAGAAAAAAGATAATGAAGAACCTGTTGTGACAAGAGCGGATCGGATTGCGGCAGGAGACCATTGAGGGTATTTTGCTCGGAGAAGGGCGACGACTCCCGAGACGGCAGGAGCTGCCATTGATGTTCCTGACAAGAGGTCGAACTGACGAGGGTCCGAACCAGGTACTGCTCCAAGAATGTCGGCTCCGGGAGCTGCAATATCAGGCTGCATTTTCCATGAAAACCAAAATTCAGAATCTGTGGATGTGTTCTCAAATTCGGAGATTCTCAGGAAATGGAGTAAGAGACTGTTACTTTACCTTGAGAATGGCTGGAGAGATCGAATTAGGTCCTCTATTCGAGAATGTCGGGATCTTAGTCGCTATAGGTCGGCCTACGACTGTCTTGGTAGGGCTAATTTTGATTTTCGGAGATCTGCAGATCAAAATGTATATCAGAAGGAAATTATGCCGATGAATGAGAAATGACCATCGAAAAGCATTGTTCAAGATTCTTACGCTGTGGACTGGATGTAGTACAATATGTCAGTTCCGAGTTCATAGTCCACAGAGACGCACGGAAACATAAAACATGGCACCGCATCAATGATGCTTTGTGCCATTATCACGCCGGCGCTTCCACCTTGTACTATTAACTTTAACTTCTCCTTTTCAACATCGCTCGCCATGAAAATCAGCACGATTTTGCCCATGACAGAACCATTTTTTATATCAGCATCGGGGAGTTCGCCTCCATAAACAAGATCGACGAATCCAGTTTGATTTCCTGTGTATAGCCCTTGAGCCTGGGAATATTCACAAAGGAGTTAGCAAGAACTCGTTTTGGGAATGTGTTGTCGGAAAATTACAAAAAAGTATAATGATACCATCATGGTTAGATTGTTTCCAAGAGTGAGGTAAATGGGGAAAGAGCGGTCCATAGTCGAAGCGGCCACAGTTATGATCCAAGGAGCCACATTATCAACGGTTTGAGGCCCGGGTCCTTCATTTCCGGCTGCACAAACAACTGGAATCCCTTCCATCACAGCGTGGAAAGATGCTATTCCAATGTCTCTCGGATCAACTTCGAAGTCATTCGGGATCCTATTTCCGATCGAAATGGATATAACGTCGACCCGATCGTGTATGGCATCATCTATGGCCTTCACCAAGTCAGACCCTGGACACCCAGCTGACTTCCAGCACACCTTGTAGGTTGCTACCCGTGCCCCGGGGGCCCCACCTCTCGCCGTTCCACCCGCAAGACCTTCCACGCTTGCCCCGGGAACGAAAGAACCAGCAGCGATCGAGGTAACATGTGTTCCATGGCCTGTAACGTCTCTGGGGGATTTGGTTTCACCAGCCTCTGTGAAGTTAAATGCCCCATCAACCTCTTTAAGGACACCTTGAAAGTAGAACTTAGCCCCTATCAGCTTTTTGTTGCAAGATTTCGTCGCGTCGAAACTTTCCCCCGAGACGCATCCTCCCTTCCAACGGGTTGGGATTGGTGAGAGGCCTTTGTCATTAAAAGACTCGGCCTCTGGCCATATTCCTGTAACGTTTTCCAACCATCGTGTTTTAACAGTCCCCTTATATAGAGCTAGCAAGAAACCGAGATAGTGAGAGAGTGAGCGAGACAAAAAAACCTGAATCAATAACACCGATGATAGCATCACTGCCCATATTGGTGTCATGAAGAAGGCCCTTAGGAGCATTTGGTGAAAGCCCCAAGTAATCGAAAGACCTTGTTGTCTTCAACTGCAGAATCCGATTTGGTGCAACATGAACAACGTCGGGATGCGCTGATACAAAGCAAATTGACATGAATATCGTTGCATTTAGCAGTTGATGGAACCATAATGTGACATCAGTCAAGGAATGATGAAGCATACCTGAAAGGGCCTTCACTTGGGAGGAATTAAGCTTAGCAGCGAAGCCCGAGAAACCGTGTCTGTAACTATAGATCATAGACTTACGAGCAGCATCTTTGCTGCATTATAAAGAAACAATCAGAATAAGGAAGAAACGTCAAGAATCCTAACATTGTTGAGATAACGCTGCAACGATGTTCAAACCTTCCAAAAACCGATTCAAGGATGGTATGATGCGACGCTGTAACCAATTCGGGGTCCTCGTGTTGCCTTGCACCCAGGTACACTATGTGAATCTGTTCATCAAGAAGAAAACGAACACTTCTTCAGCCACAAGCATCATCATTCGGCCAACGCTAATGACAGTGTAATGTACTTACCTTGCTTATTTCGCCGGTTCCTGCAGCAGAACTTAATGCTCCATTCAAGATCAATGCAAAACCAATGGCGATAAGAACAGAAGTCTTGGAACTTCTACCCGCAATCAGAGAAGAGAACCCCATTTTCAGGGGTTAAGGCACGTTGAGGCTGTTCTTGTCTGATAAAATATGTTGCCTCAACAATGCTTCTCTTCTCCGATTGCAGCCACAACGCCTGGAAATGCCCTTTGTCTAGTGATTATAAATACACGAGACATCATTGGAGATGTATAACTTTATTAGCTATTCTTACTTTCAATACCAAATACAGGAGACGGATAAAAAAACAAACAAACCTACCAAATAGTTAGTTATTATATGCTAAATTTGGAAAATGTTTTTGCCATTTTCGCCATAAACCATCTTTTACCGTTGACTAAATAAGAATTTAGAGGCTGTTTCACGAATAGACAATGGCAATTTTGATCGAGTGGGAGATGTATGGCTCACACCACCCCTCATGCCATGGAGCTTTTCACCTGCGCTTTCTTCATCATCCATGGCTTTATCTTTATGAATCTGAGCTTTTTGATGCCTGAACAATAATGCATCTGAGATTTTACAAAATCACAAAATCATTAAAAAAAGAGACGTGTTTCACATTAATACAGCCTTTGAACCCTCACAAAACAAGCAATGACTTTGGAAAATCAGACATGAACATGAATTGACTTGACCCCCCAATAACAGACAAACAATGATGCAGACTCGCACAGAGTCACAAGGGAGAATTACCCGGCCATTCGATGGATTAAACAGATTCATCTGAATCCTCTGCTGTTACCTCAGAAAAACCATCTTCCTCATTGTCATCGTTAACTGCCTTTGTCATCTCATCCCGACTAGCAGTCATTCTAGCCAAAGCAACAGCCTTGCTTGGCATGTGAGGTCGGGTCATCTCGCAGTTCTCGAAACAGAAGGCGCAGCACATTGGACGGAGCCAGGAGATGCTTATTCTTCATCAGAGGATGTTTCTTCGTTTCTTACCCTTCTTCTCGAACCGGCTGGTCTTGTTGAACAAGGACAAGGGGCAGGTGTCTGTGCCACTATTGTAGACGTGTTGATGTCCAGGTCGAACTTTACACCTAATGTTTCTGTAAGTAGTCATAGAGAAAGCAATCTAATAAGCAGAAAGAAAAACCACGGTAGAGACAATCAAGATATTATGGCGGGGATAGGAAGACGAAGATGGTGCAAAGTCCGATCACATTTCCTCTCCTATTTTCATCAACATTCCAATAAAGGTAAAAACACCAAAAGAAATCTAAAATTTCATCTTCGAGAAAGAAAAAAGAACATTTACCCTCTATATTCAGTTTAATGATCATGGGAAAAGTGGCCGAAATCCTACACACTTTCCATCGTGTCCCCATCAGTTCATGCTACAACAATGCCCTCTGCTACCTCAGAAGTTATCTGACACGCCCTGAACCTAGCGTTTCGGTTCACGGGACAGCAATCGCACCAACCAGTAGAAACTTTCCAAATTTCCTCCAAGAACCCGTCGCATTCGGAGCCAACATCGGCCACACCACGCAAAAAAAAAAAAAAAAAGCGAATCCAACATCGGCCACACCACGCAAAAAAAAAAAAAAAAGCGAATTCCGCCACGAAGCGGACAACACGCTCGGCGGCCACGGTCCTCCGTCGATCAGAATGAAAAAGAGGGGATAGGGTTTTGAGAAACGCCGCAGCGAGTAGACGAACCGAAGATGAGGACTCGGAAGGTGAAGACGACGAGAATCTCGATCGGATGGCGGAGAGCTCCTTGAGCTTGCGGTTGCAAGCGGCGTACGACGTCCTGGTCTCGTTCAGGGTCTTGGCGATTCTCTGCATCAGCTGTTTCTCTACAGAGACAGAAGGAACTCCTGATTCTTCCCCCATTTTCGGACAACCGCGAGCGATCACTCTCGCTAAGTAACTATCCCTCGGCTCTCCACGGAATTAGATTTCAAAATTTGAGGTGTTTTAAAGGGCCAAACATGGGCCTTTATGGGCCCATATCGCAACATTAGACCCAAACTTAATTACAAGAGCTCACAGTCGGTCCGGCCCAATAAGACCTTAATATTTTGGGCTTGGCCTGCAACTTTTATAGGATATAATTTTAAGATCCTACGGGCCGAATAATTTTAAAAAAAATATCTTAAAAATGTTTGTGCATGTTTTTCCACTTTTTCAATTTAGAATTTGAAAGTAATCTACGGGATTATTTCGGATTTTGGCTAAATTTCTCCAAATAAACTTTGAATTATGCATATATACCCAATGGAGCAAGTTGCTGTCATATTTGTATTTACTCTCTGAAACCCAACGTGTATAACGAGGATTTGATGATATCATCATACGTCGATGACGTCACGACAAGTATTGTATCATATGTAAGTTGAATAATCTCTTGATAAATACATAGACGGTTGAGTGGGACCGACGTGAATGAATGAATGATGATCCTAATAGAAAAACATTTCTCTATTATGGTACCAGAGCTTCGGTTTTTATTCTATATTTTTTTTAATTCGTCACATCAATAATGATGGTCGAATACGAAAGCGACGATGAAGATGATGATGATTTATTCTAATAGTATCATCGTCTTGAATATCATCTTTCATTCTTTTTATTTTTTTTTAGTCTTTTTTTTTCCGACGGCGGTACTCATCACCGTCAACCCTAGTCGATGTGTTATTTTTTTTACGACGATGTTCGTTTATCGACATCAACCCTAGCCGATGTGCTAATCTTTTTTTTTTCTCTCTGACGACATTCGTTTATCGATTTCAACCCTAGCCGTTGTGAGCTCTTTAAACATGGCTTTTAGCCTCTTTCGATTGGAAAACTCCGATCGTCGATCCACGTATTTGCGTCATTTATTTTTATTTTCTTCTCTTGTCTCGCTGCTAGACTATCACGCATTATGCGTCGCGCTTTTGTGCCCATTTTTTTTTTCTTCTTTTCTCCGGCCTAGCCGCTATACACACCGCAATTTTTTTTGCGCTGCCGACCTCATTGTCGCGCAACCCAACTCGCGCATATGCGTCGCACATTCGTGCCACATCAGCCTCTGAGAATACAACTTTCAAGCTCTTCAAACGTTATCAAACAACACCAACTCAAGTCTGGACTACACCACCACATGGAAGATGATTCGTTTAATACGATCACAATTTCAGTTTTCAGTTTTTATGTAACAAGATTGAATTCATCATAGATGATTCATCTTGAGAGGGCATATAAGAAGATATTATTCTTAGAATATTATCATTAATATTGTTATGATTTACCCTAGTTACGCCTAGAATATTCTATTGTATTTTGCTATATATTATAATGTATTCTTCTCATTATCAATAATAGAAAAACATTTATCTATTATTACAAAGAATGTTAAAAGTTCAATCAATCAGAAAGAAGATTCTAACGACATGTATTTTATTTGTTTCAATCTTTTCAGATTTACGTGGAGTTCGATTTTTATTTTCATTTTTGACTCTGGATTTTAAATTATAAGCAATCAATTAAATGTTATTTAGTTCGATTTTATATAGTAAAATGGAGACCCCGTTACTAATGAAAATAGTTTTTAAACAAAACAATCTTTTAAATATCAAATCCCCATTTATTCTAGTGAAAGATGAATTATATTTCCTTTTTTTTTTGTAATGATTTGGTTTTTATAATTTTATTATACCATTCTATCTGTCTTCTTTTTCCATCCTCACCTACCACGCGGCCTGTCCATTACCAATTGAATTATTTCATTAATTTCTCGAACTAACAAGTAGATCGCCAAACATATTTCATAAATTAATTATCTATCCAATCCTTCTAAATTATAATTTACATCGACCATATCGTTAAATTAGACTCCAAAAACTCTTGGAAGATAAATAACCCTTGATTTTAGTGGTAATTGAAAATCTGTAGTAGCATGAGGGTTAGGTGGTTAGTCTTTTTCATAAATTTAATGTTTTGTACATTAGAGTCGTAAAGGTAAGGATCATTTAAAGATTTGAGTGTTGTTTTTTTAATTACAGGACATCCAAATTGATTTAGTTTTTGTTTCCTTCTCCTTTATTGTGATATAAAAACCTAACTCTTGATTCTAAGAATATCAGTCGGGCCAAAAATTCGAATATTTTCTTATAGTATTAGTAATAAACAATTTAAGTTATTAAAAAATAATTTAAAATATGTTCTTTTATACAGGAGAAAATGGGCACGAATGTGGAATACGTTTCCCAAGGAATAATTTATATTGCACATCCACGAGTGGACCCAAAAGAAAGACCAATATATGCACCCACTTTTATTATTTTTTCAATTTCTATAACCATTATTATCCAATTTTATTTTCCGCCACTATTAACGTGTATCCTCCAAAATCCACACACCCTAACGTTAACCCCAAGCCAAACCCCCCCCCCCCCCCAAAAAAAAAAAACACCACAATCTCCATTAGTACTCTCAATGACTATGAGCAATATGCTTCCATTCGGCAACTACAACGTCTCCTCACGAACCAAGAGGGACCCAAAAAACAGTAACAGCAACAAGAGGAGGAGGAAGAAGCGGCGGCCGGCGGCGAAAGTGGTCGGAGGCGGAGGAGGGGACGATTTGGCGGCGGTGAAGGCGGCGGCATGGGCGTGGTACCAAAGGAACGAAGGGAAACCGATGACGAGAGAGTTCGATCTCTCTAAAGCCTCTTCTAGAATCACTCCTCGTCCGTCCAGGTACAAGCTCGAAGCCACCAAGAACATGATCCTGTCGGAAAACAGGGTTTCAAAATCATCACTTTGGTACGACGATAACAAAACCCTAGATTCAAATCTTCTTGATAAGTACGAGATAGAGAGCATATCCAAGAGGATTGACGATTTGCTCCCTGATTCTTTCCCCGTTAGTCCAACGGCAAGCATTTACCATGATCATGACTATGGCGATGATGGTCATGGTTTCGTGGAGAGGGAGTTTTCACATGATGATCATAGAAGCCATGGTAAAGTCAATGGCTTTGTGAAAAAAGTGAACAAGGGAAAGTTATGGGGAAGGCTTATGTTGATGGGTCCGGCCACGGTTTGCGGCAGAAGTGATGACGTCGATTTACGAGCTTCTCGGTCCGGACGGAAAACGGGAAAGGTGGCGGCAGCGGCGGCGGCCGTAGCTCTCGTTAGGTCAACGGCTCGTGGCAAGTGACATATTCTCCAAACCACTGCCTCTGTACATGTTCTTCAGACAAAAAGGTGGAAGAGAGAAAGGAAGAATAAACATTGCTTTTTACCAAAAAATACAGAATAAACATTGCTTTAGAACCGACTACATAATTATTGATATAATGATGGATATTTAGGGTCTTGTTATGTCTATTTCTGGTTATTTTTTAGCTTTAACTTTTCAAATTTATAAAATTTATAATTAATCAATTTTATTATATCCATTTTCAGTTTGTTCGGATAATCTATATATTCAAATTCCGTTTTTGTTCGAATTTTATTTTTATATTCGATTTTGGTTTGATTTGGATTCGATAAATGTGATTTGAAAAAAAAGTCATATTATAAGCAGAATCCGGTTCAAATGCAATTATATAGGTTATCCGGTTCAATTTTATCTAATTTTATATAAGAATTATTGATACTAATATATTCTCAACAATTAACACTACAAGAAAAACTGTAATTTGCGACCGCAAAATCTGTCGCAACATGAAGAAGAATCTATCGGTAAAAAAAAGTTGCGACCGATTACGACCGATGGATGTCGGTCGCTAAATCGTTGTCGCAAAATCTGTGTGGTCGTGATTCTGTCGCAACTTTGCGACCGACAGATCTGTAGGTCGTCGGTCGCCAATATACGACAGATGGCTATATGTCGGTAATCTGTCACAAATTGGTGAATACATTTCTGTCGCACATTGCGACAGAAGTAGAAGTAGGTATTCGGTCGCTACGTAACGACAAATTCCATCAGACGCACTCTGTCGCAAAATAACGACCAAATATAGCGGTAGGTATTCGGTCGCAACTGTCCGACTAAATTCATTGGTCGCACTCTGTCGCAAATGTAAATTTTTTAAAACAAATATTAATAAATAATAATTATTTAAATTAAATTAAAATTTTAAAAATAATTTTAAAAATATAAAATAAAAAATATTTATTTAAAATTAAAAAGTATTTATTAAATAAAAAGTATTTAGTAAAAACAAATTAAACACTAAACAAAAAAGTTATCGGGCGAAAAGCGTCTCGTAACGCGCAATCCGTGCCTCAGCTTCTTCAAGTCTAGCAATCTTCCTGCGATCGTCCTCTCTTGAATCTTTTTCTTCAAGAGCTCGACCTCCTTAGTGAGTGAGACGTGGTGACCGATCGATGTTGCATCCGGATGACCACCACCCAACTGAGTCGCCATTGCACCGACGCCGTATATACGTCCTTTGGCATCGGGTTGGACAACCTACAAAATCAAAAGTATACGTCAATTAAACTAATTTAATAAAATTTACCTCCAGATAGAGGCTGTTGATTTCTGCTGGCGAAAGTTGGGTCGATCCACAACTCTCCTCTAACTGGGAGAGACGATCGGTGATCTTTGCCTGAATCGCATCCTCAATTTCCTGAACCCGATCGCTGATATAAGTACCGTCAGCTCGACGGTGAGTCTCCTGCAGCAATCGCAACGCAGAAGGTTCTTCACCTTCCTTCTACATCTGCACCCAAAAAATTTAATTAAAAAAATTTAAAAAAATTTAAAAATAAATACTTATTTACTTACTATCTCATGGGCGACTCGAGCAAATGATCTCCGTCCTGCAGTGTGGGTCGGGGGTGCGCGTTCGACCTCCGCTCGGGATCTCGATTGCTTGAGAATGTTTAACTCTTCTGCGTTCCTTCTTGTGAATCCCAATATTCAACTAGCTGATCGTAGATCGCCGTCGACATCCATGCAGGTCGTACACGTCTGCTCTTTACCCGATAAATGTTGTCCTTGAGGCGATCTCGGACGGCGAACCTCCAAGCGGTGTAGACTCGGTCATGAACAGACTCGTCCCAATAATAAGCTTGCTATAAAAAAAATAAATTTTTAATTTTGTATGCATATAAAATTGAACTAAGTGCCAAAATTCTTACCGCAAAAGCCCCAAATCAATGCTGTAGATCAGATGGAGGGACACAGGTGAGACTCCGCCACGGACCTTTGAAGTCCGACTGAAAGATGCTGACGACGGATGAAATCACGTCATTATTACGATCAAACATGTAAAAATCGAATTCGTAAAATTAATTTAAAAGAAATTAAAATAAATATATATTATATGCATAAAAATACCTACCAAATAGAACCGGGGGA